TTTTATAAAATTTTAATTGTGATTTTTTAATGAATATTTACAAAAGTAGTTAGATTTTCCTTCATTCATTGTTGCACATTTTACCTCCTTGCCTTCCCCTTCCCTAGTTAATTTTTTTTAAATATATTCATTCATCATTACACAATTACCTACCCATCCAACCCCCTAGTCCTCTTTGCAGTGATATATCTTATTCTGGGCTGTTGTTGTACATATAATGCCTAATCACATATTTATTTTAGACAGTTCTTTCATCTCTTCCAATGCAATAGCCATCATCTATTCCCTCTTACCCTATTCTCCCAATCCCCCATGTCAGACCTGCTTTATAACAGTGATGCTACGCAGTATTTGTCCTTTGGGACTGAGATATTTCACTCAACATGATGTGTTCCAGGGTTCCCAGTGTTGTGTAATGTTTTACAAGTTCATTGTTTTTCAGTGCTGCATATTACTCTGTTGTATGAATATACCATAGTTTTTCTATCCATTCATTTGTTGATGGGAACTTGGGTTGCTTCCATCTTTTTGCTATTGTAAATTAACACAGCAATACACATGGGTGTACATTTATCTGTTCTGATGGCAGTTAATGGTTTCTTTAGGGTATACTCCCAGTAGTGGTATTGCTGGGTCAAATGATATTTCTGTTTTCAGCTTTTTGAGAAATTGCCAGATCACCTTCCATAGTTGTTGTACCATTTTACTCTCCCACCAGCAGTGCTTCCAGTCTCCACAGCTTTGCCAGCATTTATTCCTTGCTGCTCTGTTGAACTTTGCTATTGTTACTGGGTTGAGATGATGTCTCAGTTGTTTTTAATAGACTTTTTTTTTAACCATTTAATTTTTATTGTTCCTGATAAAAATTATTGTTAGTCTTAAAAAAAAATCATTGTTAGTCTTAAGTGGTTATTCTGAAGTTACATCAAGATATATGGGGGCTGGGCCCACCACTCTCAGAAAATTCTTGTTCCAAAATATATTAACTAGCTTTGTCACAAGTCCAACAAACAGGGGCTGACAGAGGCAGGAGGGAGCACTTAAAAATAAGGTGACCCAGAGAAGGACTATAATGCAGATGATGAAACAAAACGTGTATGAACTATTGAATGGAGAGCCACTAGTTCAGCAAACCTTCACTCAAAATGCTATAGAAAGTCCTTTTTACGGAAAGAAGCATCAACTACTCTCGGTGGGTCATAGTCTCTGCTCACAGAAGAGCTTGTGCCACAAGCCCAATCTCCTACGTGTAATTCACTGCCTCTAGATCTGCAGCGAGCTCTTAGCTACTCCACCGGGATGCCTTCCCTTAGTGCGAGGATATACATCCTATTTTGGTGAGCATGCAGTAACCCTTCACACTGAGATTCACTTCTAAATGGCCTGTGCCACCAAAAAAATGACACTGGACTTGGTACTTAGGCTGTGGCGGGGGTGAGATACCTTGGCCCAACTTGGCCATTGGGCTTCAAACGGGCAAAACCACTGGAGAACAGTTACCCCTGAAAGTGACAGTAACAGCAGCAGCATAGTTGCACCCTTTTCTCCTAGAGGACCATTCCAAGCACTTCCAGTGCCAAGTCCCTTATTCTCAATTGCAGGAGACATAAAGCCTTGGCTCAACCTCATGTGGTGGTGATCCACTGGTCAGCTGTCAGCACTGAGACAAGTGGACAATTTCAACAGGGGTGCCTTCCACCAAGAGAGTTGGATCTTCAAGGCAGGACGGGAGGCAGGCGAGGTTGACCCGAATACACATGGGGAGGCAATTGAGGCAGAGTGGGAGAGGCTGGATAGAACACACCTTCCCACCGCTGCACGAGAGAGCCACTGCAGCTGACCACAGAGAGTATTCCTACGGCTTGTGCCACCAGCACTAGCGTGCAATGTCCCAGAATAATAAGGTGGTTTTTTGGTGTTTTGGGTTTGGTTTTTTTTTTACGTGGAACAAGTGCAAATGATTTGTTAAGGCAGTTAAGAGGCATCGCTGATAGAAGGTGGGCCATGCAAAAGAGTTAAGATGAGAAGAGGGGTAGAAGACCCCAGGGAAGATGGGGGTGTAAACAGATCTTACAGCATGCTGTCAGTAGACAAGGAGAGTAAGTGGAATAATAGCCTTTAGGGAGTGAAAAGCATTACAGAAATATGATTAGTAAAATTGTGTGTGTGTGTGTATACACTTTGTATGATGTACAGTTTTTTTTCTCTGTAATTGGAATTATATCCTTAGTTCCTAAGTCTATATTCTATTTTTTAATAGATGCTTTTTTGGGTGCTAGAACTGACAATGCTTCCAAGAATATCAAAGCGTACCATTCCATGTTACAGATACAGTGATCTTTTTACCTGTAATTTGGGATATAACTTGAGTTTCTAAAATCTGTATCCTTCATTATTTCATGGTTACTCTTTGTAGGTATTGGAACTGGCAGGTAATGCTTCTAAGGATCTCAAAGTAAAGCGTATCACTCCACGTCATTTGCAGCTCGCAATCCGTGGTGATGAAGAGTTGGATTCTCTTATCAAGGCTACCATAGCTGGAGGTGGTATGTATTATCTTTTGAGCCTGGAATGTTATTTGTCTTTTTAATTAATAATTCAAGTCAGTGATAAATTGGAATGTGGAATTAGAAAGTACACAAGCTTTAACTCTCTGTTAAGTCTATTATCATTCTAAGTCTCTATATTTAAATATTCTTAAAACTTTTATAATACTGTCTTTATTTTTAGCAAGTTCTTTTCTAAATTTCATACATGAAACATTCGTGTCTGTAGTATTTTCCATACACTTTATGTTTGGAAAATGATCAAGGAAAGTTGGTTATTCTAGAAAGGATTGAGTATTCCAATAGGTCTGGATTAGCAATGAGAAGATAATGTAAACTGGTGGTTCTTGATCTTTATGCTAGACCTGTTAGAGAATCTTGTGGAAGCTCTTAGAAAATGCACATACCTTCATGTTCAGTTTTCGAGCTTGCTGGGGAAGGGGTCAGACATGAAAACGGAATTAGTATGTTAATCTTATTTGAGGTACTTTGTTAAGGTATAAAAGAAAGGGTCAGAAGTTTGTAATAACACTATTTTTATTTCATTCTAGGTGTGATCCCTCATATCCACAAATCACTGATTGGAAAGAAGGGACAGCAAAAAACTGCTTAAGAGATTTGTTTTAACCAATCCTCTTTTCCCCTGAATTTTATTCTCTAACTGAGAATAAATAATGGAGATAGGTGGAATTTTTTTAAAAGTGTTAAATAGAATAGCATAGATAGTTACTGTAGATATGATACAAGAAACATTTGTATGTTTGTAGATTCAGAGTTTTGCAAAAGTACTTTCATATGGAAACAATTATGTGTTGATTGTCTAGGTTTCTCCCATGTGTTTTATACAAAAATGGAATTGATAAATCATTTACAAAATTTGTTTCAAAATGGTTCTGTTTGTGATATATTGGAAAGCTTTTGCACAGACTTTGACATTTTTTAACTCTCAAAATTATCAGTACTTTAGAATATTCTTCAAAACAGTTTGGGAATAAGGGAGCTCTGGTGGCATAGTGGCAAGAAGTTGCACTACAATCCCAGAGGTGCTCAGTTTGAATTCACCAAATGCTCTGCTGGAGAAGGAGGGGCAATCTCCTCTACCACTCAGATCCAATTTGATGGTACACACACACACCCACAAAAATAAAATTTAAAAAAAATTTGGGAATGTAATTTCATCATAATTTAAAGCTATTTTGATTCTAAAATGCTTTTACTGACTATATTCACCAATATTTTGTGTCTTCTGATGAAAGAAAAACTGCCAGTTAAACCATGGCATGTAGTCACAAGACTCATCACAATTTCTGAGATGTTGGAGTGTGAGAAAATATGTTTCATTTTGAGATTAATATCATAGCAGACTTAATTATTGAGCTTTTAGAGTATGCCTAAGAGCTCTGGTGGTCTAGTAGAGAGGGAGTTAGTCTGCCAAACCAGAAATGGGCAGTTCAGATCCACTAGCTGTTCCACAGGAGAAAGATGGGCTGTCTTCTACCATGTGATTTACAGCCTCAGAAAACCCACTAGACGGTCAGCTGTAAATTGGTTCAGACTTGGCATTGCATAACAGTTACTGTAACGTACTAGATCCTATGGTAAGTACTTCATATGCTTAATCTCATACTAGTGTTTCAAGAACTTTTTTCCCTCCTCCCATGCTATAGATTTAGGAGTTTGAGGCTTCTAGAAATTAAGTAATTTGTGATTTAAAAAAAGAAAAAGGTTTCTCCCAGCTGGTAGGTGGAAAATTACTTTCATTTTCATTTCATAAAGTAGGATTCACACTAAATTTGTCTAGCTTCAGAGCCCAAATCCTACTCATACTTGGATTTGAAGTTACATTTATCAGAGTTTTCTGCATTTGATTTAAAATTTCAAATTTTTAGTGGACTTTCAGAAATTTGTATTATATAAATTTGAACTTCATTATTTTAGGGAGCTCTGGTGGTCTAGTGGTTAAGAAGCTGCAGTGTAATCCCAAAGGCATGTGGTTTAAATCCACAGGAGAAGGATGAGCAATTTCTTCCCATGCAGTTTATTATTAGGGGCTCTCGAGTATGATTCATAGCAACCCTTTAAACAATAGCTCTGAACCCTATCGATCTTGTGTAAATCCACCTGGTTGAGGGTCTTCCTCTCATTTGCTGTCCCTCCACCTTTCCAAGCATGATGTCCTTCTCCAAGGAGTAGCCTCTTCTTGCACTATGCCCAAAGTATGTGAGACAAAGCTTTATCATCCTTGCTTCCAAGGAGCAATCTGGTCACCCTCTCTAGGACATAAGTTTGTTCTCTTGGTAGTCTGGTAGTCCATGGAATATTCGATACTCTCCTCTAACAGCACAACTCAAAGGCATCAATTTTTTTTTCTGTCATCCTTACTCGTTGTCCAGCTCTCAAATGCATAGCAGATAATTGGAAAGATCCTGGTCTGAATCAGTCACACCTTAGTCCTCAAACTGACATCTGTACTCCTTGATAATGTGGAAGGGTCCCCAACAACAGACTTTTTCCCCTCCTGATCTCCTGACAGCTTATGCCAAGTGTATTTATTGTGGATCCAAGTAAGATGATGTCATTGACAGTTTGTCTTTTCTCCATTTATCATGATGCCATCTATTGTTCCAATGATGAGAATTTTTGTTTTTTTGAATTGTGATGCAGTCTACATTGAAGGTTGTAATGCTTGTTCTGTGTTGCAAATTGTCCTGAGTTTCAGCAAGCAAGACTGTCATCCTGTGAAAAACTGCTGGAGGTTCAACTATGGGTCAATTCCACTGTGTTGGCATACAGCAACAAAAACTGAACAGTTTCTCTTCCTTGTTAAATGTTTTTATATATACATATTCAGGGATTTTTTTAGCTACATTGTTTAACTCATTTTGCTCACAGTCAATTTAGATCCTTTTTTTTATCAATTCCTTAGAAACTTGATTGCTTTTTATTGGCACATTTACCCCTCCTTCTCTCCAATCTGATGTCATTATTAAATTTACAGTGTTGGAAGCCAGATAGGGGATCACCACAAGTTAGAATTGCTGGACTGTACGAGGAGGAATGTGGCATCAGGATTGGTGGAAGATTCATCAACCTGTGTTATGCAGATGACACAACGCTACTTGCTGAAACTGACGAGGATCTGGAGTGCCTGCTGCAGAGGGTTATGGACTGCAGCCTTCAATATGGATTGAGGCTCAACATCAAGAAAACAAAGATTCTCACCACTTTTTATTTACTCAGTCTATTAAAGAGATTCCTAAGATAACACTGAAAGTTCAGTTGACGGTAAATCAGTAATTACTTTGATCAAAACAGTGTTAGAGGGAATGCTTAACTAATAATCAAATTATCACCTTTGCTATACAGCAAATGATATATTTTGAAGAAAGGCTCTTAATGGAGATCAACCTCACATTCTAAGTAAGGCATTTGAGGAAACCAGTTTCCTCCAGTGTGGCTTTGTCCTACATCTGTCCTAATTTAAAATCACAGAAGTGAGTGCCTGAGTGGAAGATGATACTCATACTGGCAATCAAAGAATTTCTATGGATAGAAAAACTATGGTATATTCATACAATAGAATACTATGCAGCACTGAAGCACAATTAACACATTACACAACATGGATAACCCTGCAGTACATTATACTAAATGAAATAGCTGAAAAAGTGTTTGTCATTAAAGGACAAATACTATATAGCACCACTGTTAGAAAGTAAGATAAAAGGGTTTGGAAGGAGAATAGGATAAGAGTGTATAAATAATGAACATTGCACTGGAATAGATGAAGGAAAGAACTGTTTAAAACAACTATATGACTAGGCATTATATATGTACAATAGCCCAGAATAAGAGGTACATTGCAAAGAGGACTGGGTGGGGGAGGATGGAAGTAATAATGTAACAGTGAATGAATATTTAAAAATCAAAGTGAACTGGGGGAGGGGGAAGGGTGGGAGAGAAGGTGAGAATGTGCAACAATCAATGAAAATCTAACATCTATAAACTTTCAGTAAAATTACAATTTAAAAATTTCTAAATTATGTAGTCGTGTGCCGTTGAGTCACAACTCATAGCAACCTTATGTACAAGAACCCTAAACCCTTCTCTATCCTGTGCCAACCTCACCATCTCCGTCACATCTACTCCCACCACCTCAATCACTGAATCGATCATCTCATCAAGGGTCTTCCTCTCCTGCATTGTCCTTCCACTCTCTAAACATGATGTCCCTCTCCAAGGACTGGTCCCTCCTTGCAACATGCCCAAAGTGTGTTGTGTGTGTGTGTGTGTGTGTGTATTAAAAAAAGCTTGAGAATACATGACTCCAAGGAGCAGCCTGGCTTCCCCCTTTCCAGGACAAACCTATTTGTTCTCCTATCAGTCCATGGTATATTCAACACTCTTCTGCACCGCAGCTCAATGGCATCAATTCTCTATCATTCCTAGTCATTGTCCAGCTCTCCAATGCATAGCATGCAATTGTGAAGATGATAGTCTGTATCAGGCACACCTTGGTTTCCAGCCTGATGTCGCTGCCCTTCAGTACTCTGAATCCCAATGCAATTCGTCTCTTGATTTCCTGGCTTCTGGTACCAAGAATGTTGACTCTGGAGCAAACTAAAACTGTTAACTATCTCAATCTCTTCACCATCCATACATCAGCTGCCAATTGGTCCAGTGGTGAGAATCGTTTTCTTGATGTTGTGTTTCAATCCATATTCAAGGCTGCAGTCCTTGACCTTTTGCAGCAAGTACTTCAGGTCCTCCTCACTTTCAGCAAGCAGGGTTGTGTCATCTCCATAACGCAGGTTGTTGATGAATCTTCCACCAATCCTGATGCCACATTCCTCCTCATACAGTCCAGCATCCTGGATGATCTGCATGCAGATTGAAAAAGTATGGAGACAGTATATCCCTGGCAGACCCCCTTCCCCCTTTTGAACCATATAGTGTCTCCTTGCTGTGTTTCGACAACTGCTTCTTGGCCCAAGGTTTCACATAAGCACAATCAAGTGTTCTTGGATCCCCATTCTTCTCAGAGTCAGCCATAGCTTGTGATCCACACAGTCAAAAGCTTTTGCATAGTCAATGAAGCGCAGATAGACATTCCTCTGGTATTACCTGCTTTCTGCCAAGAGCTATAATATCCCTAGTACCACAACCTCTTCTAAATACAGCCTGCACATCTGGCAAGTCTCTGTTGACGTACTGCTCCAGTCGTTTTTGGATAATTTTCAGAATCTTGCTTGGGTGTGATATTAATGATATTGTTCAATATTTCTGCACTCTGTTGGATTACCTTGGGAGTGGGAACAAATATCGACCCCTTCTAATCATTTGACCAGGTGGTTGTCCTCCAGATTTCTTGGCACAACTTAATGAGCACGTCCAGGGCAGTGTCTTTTGAAATATGACAATTGGTATGCTGTCAACTCCTGGAGCCTTGTTTTTTGCCAATTCTTTCAGAGCAACTTGAACTTCTTCTTCCAAATACTATTGTTCATATGTTTCCACTTATCAAGAGAAAACCAGGGGTCATTTTCTCAGAAACTATGGTGTAACAAAAGGAAGAAATGGGAGTCTGAACTAAACCTCTGTCGGTTAGGCAAAGAGCTTCAGTTTTAGGGTGTCCTCATATATTTTCATCTCCTCTGATCATGACTGTCCATCAATTATTTTATGAATATATATACATACATATGTATATGTTGTTACGTGCTGTCGAGTCGCTTGCGAGATATATATAGCTATGTATATATCTATATAGCTATCTCTATATCTGATTAAAAATAATCCAAGAAATTAACAAGTACCTAAAATAACAGATTTGGTCTTTTTTCAACCTAGTATTTTGTCTATGTTTTTAACAAACCTG